TACCGAGGTGTGCCGCCGCAGCGTGGACTTGTCGGTGAACGTCCGTCCGCACGCGTTGCACATGAATGGCTTCTCCCCCGTGTGGATGCGGTGGTGCCGCTGGAGGGCGTTGAGCTGCGTGAACTGCTTCCCGCACTGGTCGCAGCAGTAGGGACGCTCCCCTGGACGGAAGAGACACAGCGACCGGCTGCCTTGCGGCCTGGACCCGGCCCGGAGGAGGGCGAGGCTGGCCGGGGAGGTCACAGCCTCTGCCGACCGCGGCAGGGTGGCTCCGGGCGGCGCCCGGCTTCCACAGACCGGACGTAAAGCCCCAAGTCCCTGATGTGCACGTGCATGTCCGCTGATCCAGACAGACCACCACCCCGAATGGCCACACACCCACATCCACCTTCCAACCTTCATATCCTTTCAGTTTGTCAGAGCCAGGAACCAGAAACCCAGGAATTGTAAATGCCATCAGGATACACAGAGGTGAACTCCGGGTGCTTTTCTAGCAAACCTAACGCCTCCAGGGTGTCTTCCTGCCCCGCAGCCCCCTCTGTGACTGCCAGCCTCACCTGTATGGACTTTAATGTGTTGGTAAAGTGAGTTCCGCTGCGCAAAAGTCCTGAAACAAACTTCACATTTAAAGGGTTTGGACCCAGTATGGATTCTATTGTGGTGTTTTAAATACTCCTTGGAAGCGAAACTCTTGCCACACGTCTCACACATAAAAGGTCTTTCACCTGCAGGAAGAGAGGAAACACACCGTCAGCAATGACGCAGGCGCTGGAGCACGCGGGGAGACCGGGTTCACCTCCAGCCCCACGGGAGCCCCCACGAGGTGTCTTGGTGGGCAGCAGGCTACATTTTCTAGTTGAAAGTATCAAAAGGGGGAGGTTGCAGAGCACATGCTTAGCGTGCACGAGGTCTGGTTTGATCCCAGGTCCCTCCATTAAAATAAATAAACTATTATAAAGCACAAACACTTGTTCACGCCCAGCCCCTGCTGCTTGCTGAAAGTTGCTGCGGCGCGTCCGCGGAGAGCCCAAGGACGGCGCCACAGGTCAGAGCCTTCGCCCAGCTCACGCCAGAAATTCAGCCCTTCCAGACAAGAGCCGGTTTTCCAGCCTGCCTGGTGGAGGAGCTGGACTCCTCACGGTGCTCCTCCCAGAGGGGTGGGGGTCACGCTGGACAAGCCTGGCTGCCCTGAGTAGCAGCTCCCAGCCCGCCGGGGGGGGTGCCCAGGGGGGACACTCGCCTTCCAGGGCGCACACCCGCCTTCCAGGGCGCGCGGTCTGGGCCCTGAGCCCCACAGTCAGACTCCTGTCAGGGGGCCCGACTGCACAGTCGTCCAAACACACTAGCGGTAATAAAACCCAAGTATATTTTCATTTCCATCAAACAACTGACTCTAACTTATCCCTTCAGTGTGGTGGCCTCAGGCTGCTCGTCTCCCACAGGAGCCCGGGTCTGCTCACTCTGATCATTCAGTTCACGTCAGTGGCTCGTCCGCCTCGCCCGTGTTTGAACTCGAGGCTCAGGTGACAGTGCTTAGAATTAGAAGGAAGAACTCCTCCGTGCAGGGGGCGAGGACCTGGCTTAGTGTGACAGCCACAGCACAGGGCAGCTAGGCTGTGTGCACTCCCGCTCTCGCGCACAGGGCTCTGAGCCTCAGGAGCCCTGCGCGGAATCAGAAAAAGACAGCCCGCGTGGCCTCCCTCACGGGACACAACTCTACCACAGAGATTCGGAAAAAGCAGGTGATTCCACCTCCTTAACGCATCGTGCAGCGAGTTATTTTCTTTTCGTCTTTCACGTGCAGGTGTTCAGTAAGGCTGGGGTTAACCGTGTGCTTAGTCGTGCGCCTCCCAACTCGCCATCCAAGCCCAGGTGCTGTTCGCGTTCGGAGACCTTCCTCCGACGGCCTGGTCGTGGACGGGATGGGAGGAGCACCTACCCACTTACTGACCCACTTCCTTGGGGCTGGACAGTCCGGCTGTTTCCAGAGACAGCAAGAAGAGGGTAACAGCATAGAGCTTCCCCCACATTCTGAGCAACATCTCTGAGAAAGGCCCCGCGGGGACTTGGGCTCCGTCAGTCAGGCCCGTCTGCACCCCTGGACCCCAGCGCCTCCGTGTGCAAGGCCGTGGCGGCGGGCCCGTGCACTGGCTCACTCGTGCTCACTCACGAGGTGGGAGGGCGACATCACTGCTCTGACCAGACCGCTGGGCCGATGCCAGCTGCGAGATCAGTACACCGCAGTTTCCTGTCTACAGCCAGGAAAGGCGTCAGCCCCAGAGTGCGTACACTCACCTGTGTGACACCTTTTGTGATAAATCAGCATGTGGTTCTGAGTGAATCTCGCGCCACACTCGTCGCAGACAAAAGGCTTCTCCCCTGTGTGAATCCTGAGAGCACAACGTTCAGACGGTAACTCAGATGTAGTTCAAAGCTCACTTTGTAATAACACACTTTCCACCCTCACTCGTGAAGCCGGTTTACCCCGGGCACCCCAGTGAGAAGGACCGGAAGTGAGAGGCCCAGGACTGCCACCCCGAGTCCGCTTCTGCACAAGGCCGACACCGCCATGTCCCCACCAGACGCAGAGCCTCCACCCACGCCGGCCTCACGGTTCGGGCTGCCACCAGACACATGTGGACAGGGACCACGCCTCTGCACGCTGTTTAAGACACTAAGGTCTGTAAAGCTTCCCCATTGAAACTGATCTCCCACAAACCCCGTAGGGACCACTGCTGACAAACCACCACGTGATCAAAATGTTTACCATCCTCTCCCAAGTGACATAAGCCGTCTAGAAAGAACTGCTCCCAACGTGCTGGCTGTGCTGGTCCCCAGGGCGCCTGCGTCAGCACCTCACTTCACGGCAAGGTGAGTGCAGTGGCCGCCACCACAGTTCACTGAGCCCTTCCTGGACCAGGCAGTTCAATGGCAGTAATGGGACGGTGACCACCCCGCCACCAGCCTTGGCCCAGGTTTGAGGGTAGGTCGGGAGCAGAAACCTGTTCTGTCTGCATTTCAGGCATAAACACTGAGCACCATAAGGGAACTTATTTAAAAACTGGATGTTCAAAAATCAGGGACCAGAGATCACTGTCCTAACTCTGGAGTTTAGACTAAATGGCAGCAGGTACTCTCCAAGCCCAGAAAAGTGTCACCTGACTGAGGTGGTTGGGACAAGGGGGCAGCAGGAGGCCAGCAGTGGGGCCTGGCGACACTTCCTGTGCCCAGGGAGCCACCTCCTGGCATCTCTGCCCGGAAAGAGAATCCAGGGGTCTGAAAGCAGCCTCCCGACTGGGAGCGCGAACAGACTAGTGAGGGCCCCTGAGCAGTGCGGCCACACTGGCCGGGCCCGCCAGCCCGTTCCAGGGCCGCGGGCCGCCCTACCTCATGTGGGTCTTCAGAGCCGAGGGCTGCGAGAACCTGGCCTGGCACTCGGTGCAGCCGTAGGGCTTGTGGCCCGTGTGCGTGCGCTCGTGCAGCCGCAGTGCTGTCTTGGAGCTCAGGCCCTTCCCGCACTGCTGGCACTGGTGCCGCTCGCCGCCGCCCTCGTGCACCTGCACCACGTGCCGCTTCACGTCCTTCTTCCGCTTGAACTTCTTCCCGCACAGCTCGCAGGGGAAGTGGCGCTCACTGCTGTGCACGTGGCGCTGATGGCCCCGCAGGTTGCAGCGGTTGGCGAAGGTCTGGCCGCAGGTGTCGCAGCGGTGGACCACCTCGGTGGCCACGCCGTGGTGGTGCCGCACGTGCTTCAGGAAGCTCTTCTCGTACAGGAAGGCCTTCTCGCAGACGGTGCACTGGAAGCCGCTCCTCCTCGCCCCCACCGCGGCCCCGTCCTCCTCCTCCTCCTCTTCCTCCTCCCCGGGCCCCGCCCTCGGCAGCTCTCCCTCAGCCTCCGCCCCAGCACTGCCGTCCTCGTCTTTGGTCACCAGCTCCTTCTCTGTCGCCACGGTGTCCGGGCTGGGGTCTCGGGGGCACCCGGGGTCCTCCCCGGCCTCCTCCACTCCCTTCTGCTGCTCGCGGAGCCTCCGGGTATACTTCTTTTTAGGGATTTCCACAAACACCTTTCTCCCAGCCAGCCTCCCGCTCGCCCTCCTGACCTTAGGGTAGGGAGGCTTGGCGGCCTCTCTTCTCTTGTCCGGCTTGTCCTTGGGTTTCCTCGGGCACGTGCCTGGCGGCACGCCACTGCTCACCCTCTCGCTCGGGGGATCTGGGGAGCCTGCCAGGCCGTTGGCGAGAGGGCCATCCACAGCCACCCCTTCCCGAGGGTCGGGGACGGTGGCAGCAGTGACCAGGGAGCCACCGCTCCCTTCTGCCTCCTGAGACTCCGAGAAATTCTGCAACTCCAGAAGTACAGACTCTAACATTTGTTTCTTCAACTGAAAGCAAGTTTCGGACAAGTCCAAGCACTTCAGCCTGTCGGCCATCTCCAGCATTCGCGGCACCCGGTCTTCCTCCACCTGCACCTTTGCGGTGTAGACAAACTCAAGAAAAGAAGCAAAGTCAGCAACCTGCACTTCGTCTAAGTAGACATTAGTCCTGGCACCATCCACAGTCTTCTCGTTAAGGAACACTTCCTTAAAAAACTTGCTGGTGGCAGCCAGCACTGCCTTGTGGGCCATGAATTCCTCACGGACACCCTGGTACTCCACGCTGACAGTCACGTCGCACAGGTGACCCAGAAGGCGGAGCTGGTGCATCTCACGCAGAAGGTTAAAGGGTGAGGACTTGGATTCCAGCAGAACCGCACCACTTTCCATGTTTCTTCTTCCCAGAAATAGCTTTGAAAACAAAAGCAAGAATTATTCGTGCATGAGCAACCATGGAAGTAAAAGGATTAGAAACTCTGAGGATTACTTCAGTTCTTCAGAGGATTTACACTGATTAATAACCTAAATCTAACTTTTCTCATACACAGATTCAAATCACATGCCACTAAGCACGTTTCTGAAGCCCTGGTGCACTTTCCTAAGATAGGAGCATGAAAACGTAGTCTGACATTTCCACCAGCAATAAAGTTAAAATTAATGAAATACATTAAAGGAGTCATTTGTTTATCTGGACCATTTTCTAGTTTGCTCATAGCCCCAAAGCCCCCATACTAACAGAATTTATAGCAACAATAAATGTCTACTTTGACCAGAAAACCAAATAATCAAAATACATTGGCAGCCACCGTCTGAGAGCAACCCTTAGAGGATGCCGTCAGCGTCTGAAACAGCCAACTAAATAGATAGCTCTTTCCATGAACAAAACTTCTTGGAAAAAGTAGCCCAGGATCCATGGCCACTTCCAACCCCGAAACCCCTCCTACCCGGGGTCACCG